GATCGTACTTTCCTCCTAAGAGAAACATGCGGCGTCGGAAAATTTTTTTTCCCTGTTGTTGACTTACAGGGGGTGTGGGGGGTCGTATTTTCCTACCGTGGACTCTACCGAAATCCCCAACTAACGAGGTGCCCTGGTCCCAGATCATAGGAACTCGAAACCACACTAAAGAAGTCATTTGTGTAAAGGTTTCTCAAGGGTCGTGACATTTTCAGAATCTCATATGAGATATTTCCGCAGTTACTCCGAGATCCAGTCATGCCTGGTACGATAACAAAGTATGGTGACTGATCTTGTATGCCAGTAGACTGCGCATCGAATGTGTGTGATCAATCCGAGATTGAGGGTCTCCTTAGCATGAAACCCTTTCTGATGAAGGGCGGGTGATTTCTTGTTTCCGCTCACATAAGATCATTTCCTTGTGAAGTGGATTTCACTGATGAACGATGGTGCTTTCCAAAGCCTTTTGGCCGAAATGACAAATTCGCGCTCAAAATGATCGACAACCGAAGTTTCAGAGAGCTCATAATCCCAGCCAAAGATGGATGTGAAGGTATTTTGTGTGTGTTATAGTTGTCCTTATGTTTTCCTCTGAGAGCTACGGTAAATAGCCTTCTGACGAAGTGATGAACTCAGCCAATGCACTAATACATATGTAGAGTGGAAAATGCTGAGTGATGACCGCAAGGTGCAATGGATAGGGATTGATAACCAAAATGATTAACATCTTCTCTCCATGAAAGAAGAGCTGAACCAGTTCCAAATGGCATTGGTCATTTCGGAGTAACTGGCAAGCACTTGAGGTAGAATGTTGTTCGCCGCGGACGTTGCGGCGTTTTGGGTGAGCTGGGTTCGGCGCGGCACGAACCTCTTTTCACCAATTGTGAAGCTGGTAGGCGACCACGGTTACGTGACACTTTTGTGCATGGTCCTGTTACGAAACCCTGTGACGCAGACGGATAGAGGGCAGCGGCTGCCAAAGCATCGAAACGTGCAAAAAACGTATGGCGAGCCAGGAACGGGATTTTTCAAGGGGAGGGGACTCCGGGGTGGGTGAGCTACTTATAGTCGGTGAAAAGCTGGAGTGAGCGAAGTCACAACGGCCATAGAGTGCCATGCGGACGAGAGAGTGCAGAGAAAAAAAAGAGAAGATCGACGCGTTCAAAGGGATTGAGTTCAAGTTGTCCCGTAGACCGGCGACCACAATTGCTCGAGATCAGTATGTGACGATTGTACACAGATTCTCGCGCGCCCACTATCCACGACTCTGCTCCAACAGTTGAGTGGTCGAAAAGTTCAGATGTAAAGGAGGTAAGTAAAAAGAAACTTGTTGTGCGGATCCGGTCGTATTTCCCTCGCTTAGAACCCACAGATTGATATGATATTTTTAATATGCGCATTTTCCTGTAGGGCATGCTTCCTGTAGGGGTGCCTTGGTGGTTACCGGACCTTTTCAGACAATTCTCTCGTAGACCGTGTCTATATGAACGTACAGAGATGGCTTCGTTTCGAGCCAGTTCGATAATCTTCTGTGGGACTGTGATTTCTTAAGAGCACATTCAACGGTCATCGTATGGGCGGAGCTAGAAACAGTATTGTGCTTTCTTCTTTGGCGCGCTTTGCGAAAAGAGGATGCCTCGTAGAGGGAGACATAATTGTGGGGCTGGTTCCGTCCATGCGACCAGCACGGAATCTTCCTCAAGGGACGAGCAACACACAGCTCAGCATGACAAAAGATGATCTGTTTTCCGGCTCTTCCAAAGTTCCTTCGCAATATTACAGAGCCACCAACATCTTCCCAGAGTTATCCTCTCAATTTGATCGAAATGCTTCTGTTTTTGTTGATGACTGCTGTTGAAGGACGTAGTTCGAGCCCGTTATCAACAAAATGCTGAGTTATGGGCAAAAGTCAGACCAAACTCCCAAACTCGAACTCGCATCTATCGCTGACCGGGCGAGTGCGCTATAGTGAAGGGTGAGAGTGGCACCAGTAATGTAATAAGTAGCGCACTCGCTCGATCATGGGACATGTGGGTTCGGGTCCCGCCTGGGGTCTGACTCTTCTTGTCATAAATAATCATCTATTTTTATGATACGCCTTCTTTTCTGACATGAGAGTTTGATCTTTTTTCCTTGTATCTAGTTACCGACTTCTGAACATCTACCAATCTCTAGTATGACACATTTCTATAACTGGCCGCACTGTCGCTTCATTTCGTTTAGATTCTAGCCGAGTGCGAATCAAGAAATCCAGCTGTCCATTTTCAAAAGCCCTTCAGCGGTTGTGAATTTTCATTTTTATAATATTTCCAGGAGCCGTGGATAAGAGGTGGTTGGGCGGATTGAGGCTAGCGATGGATGCTGAATGATTGAGTTAAAGTATTCCATCACTTTTCTCCACATGGTTTTTGATATATGAGGACGAGTATTGCCGTTTTGAAGCACGACCCGACTCGTTTTTCTTTCTGTGATTGTTTTCAAGGCCCACACACCAGCATCACAATTAGGTAAAACCAAATTGTCCACTGGGGACCACATCCACCATATTTCACCATTTTACTGACTGGAGACGTTCTTGTCCGGAACTGGCTGAGGAGGACTGTTAATATTCAACATTGCTCAAGCGACTCCTCCTGAGCATTGGGGAACCAGCTTGCGTTGAAGCCCGTCGTTTCGCTAGTTTGCATGCTCCGTTACTGTTCTTTTCCCTTATCTTGCCTGAAATTATGTACTACAAATCTTCCTCTTACTTGGAACAGATAGGGGTTTCAGAGAGCTTATTCACTTCTCGACCTCTATTTTTCCTTCAAGTATAACTTGACTAGCCCATGCATTTCTGTTTTCGTTTCGGATACTTACGGCATTTGAGACAGCTAATTGCGAAATGTGCCTTTAATTGCCCCCCCCCCACACAGGGATATTTTCTGGTATGTTCCACTTTGCGGGCATTCTTCCTCTGCAGATCGGGTTCCGATACAGCCTTGTTGCTGTGAATTTTTGACCTAATGATTTAGGGGATCTGGGTTTGGTGTGGCGCCAGCCCGTTTTGCCGCGCTAGCCTAGTTCAGCAACTGGTAGAAAATGGACTACCGAGAATGGACCTAAGCCCTTCGCCTAGCCCAGTCGCCTTACACCTCCAGTCTTCCCTGTGAAGCGTACTGTAGAGTATCGGGTGGGGAAAAGCTTGGCAAATGCGAAGAAGAATCCCTCACACAACTATAAGAAGCTTTTCAGATTCATGTCTCGACAAATTTGATCGCGGTTATCAGGAAACATGTGGTGGCGAGAACTGGCGACAGCATTACTTCCTTGACCACGAATCCAAGACGTAAGTTGTATGAAAGAACATTATTTTATTAATTTTTTTGGCTGACCAGTCGCTTCTCTCACTTCTGATCTACAAGAAATGTCTCACTACGGCGTTTCGAGATGAACAGAGCAGCGAATGAGAAATTATGATTAGCGAGCAGCACCATGGGAAGCTGCTAAGGCAAATGGACAATAAAAGTGTCCTGGTCGGGAAATCCACAAGGCGGCTACGCGTAGAAGCTGGCTTGTGCTTTTCGGTTGATCCACCCTGTACGTTCTGTACCACTTGCTCATTGATTTGGTCGTATTGCGAATTCCGCCCACGTGCTGCCGCGGAAGGCGAATCGTGCTGCAAGGCCACCTTTTCGCTTCATCGTAGGGTGCTTTGGCCCCACATGTACTGCTTTCGGGGCTCACAGGGAACCTCTAGCATGAGCTTCTCTCTGTTGCTAAATGGGCACTCCACTATTAGCTCTTCTAGCTCCCAGCTTGGTGTGCTCCTAAAGCTTACTGTATCCAGGCTGGCTCAAGTCCGCTGACTCCTTATGTAGCAGCGGCACCCTTTCTCCTTTCTCAAAGATTAATTTGAAAATCTAAATGTTTATGAATATTTCTGGACATTCAGGTGCCAACAGTTCTGGTACGATGGCTGCAAAGGACGATCGCGAAATATCTTCTCGGACTTAGATACCTGTGAACAGATGTGTGAGGCGACAAACGTCCTTACCAGAGCTGGTATATTTCATCCTTACCGGAGCTAATATATTTCAAAGTTGTGGCTTTTAAAAGCCTGAATCCTAATGTCATTCCGTCACATCAGGAAAAAAGCGCAAAGAATCCCCTTGGGCCCTTTCCGAAATGTGCCAGCGACATTCTCGGAGGAGCACAGGGACCTACGGGTAATATAAAGTTGGATGCATCATCCAGAATGGCACATTTCTAGCGGGGAGAACACAGCAGGGTTGAAAAGGGCTAAAATGACGGGGGTCATTCCTTTACTTTTCTCCTTTACCTTTCCTATCAAGTCCTCCTCTCGTAGAATCAAAAAAGCTCACTCTGTGCAGGTTAAGTTGCCATTATTGCTGCATAGGAACTCAATTGTCACCCTTGTTGTTATCGAACCGTTGACGTTTGGGCGGGGCACCGGGGTGTCGCCGGATGTCGGGGCGTTTTGGTTTTCGGCGGTCGCTGCCTCCAGGGATTGCGCCCTCCCCCACGCTAACCAAGAGGGCAAATCAATGCTCTCAGAAAAGCAGCTACATGCTGCGGTGTTGTACATTAGCAGTTCAACGTCATTCACCTACTACTTCACTCGACAATGAAATGTCGCCGAACTCATCCACGGCATGCGGAACTCCGCCCATTTATTCGAGAAGTCGCCACATGAATACCTCTGTAGAAGAGGGTTCACTGCGAGAAGTCTTAAAGAAGCATCATAAAACTGTTTTTATTCGTCTCAACGGGTTCCGCATCATATATTGGCTGGCATGCTGTGTATCGGCCATCGTTCAAATTCTCTTCACACTATTCCCATTGGATTTTCGAATACTCTACCTCATCGCTCACATCTCACTTATTGCCTCTCGTTCAGAAGTCTGCTGGGACAAATTCGATATGAATTACAGGAATCAGTGTCTTAACGGTGAGTCTTGCTTCTGTTCATTTTCATTCTTTTGGTATCAACCTCGCTGAAAGTCTTGTTGTTCGGGAGGATATTGCCCAGGTTAAGAAAGTGGGAAACCTTTGTTCGGGAGGATAGGGCCCAGGTTAAGAAAGTGGGAAACCTCTTGAAAGCGAACTCTTGAGGGGCATTTCATAACGAATAAAAGTCTAGATGTTCCAAGGGACAAACAGGTCTTGCAAAGCATTGGCCAACTCCTTAGGAATTAGCCACACATTTAATTCGGCACACTGTAGTAAATTATAGCTAGATGGTTAATTTCTGCTGAAACACAGCTGTCAAAGTCCATTTCAGAAATCCGTTCTATCGCATACATTATTAAAATTTCAGTTGGTCTTCATCAGAAGGTCAAGAAGATGTAGACAATTGAATTCATGCCTTTTCCTGACTCCTTTTTCACTTTGAGTTCATATTCTGACTGACAAAAAGGGGGACTTGATTGACAGAAAACGGAGCGTTAAGGCATCTTTTGCTTGTTTTGACACCCATGAGCCGCGTCCTTTCTCACTCAATATGGTGAAATGCTGCGACTCTATAGGACACTCCTCAAACCTCTGATGGAATACTACATGGTGCCATTAAGTTCCTAAGCCCTACAAACTCTCCAACTTGGGCATAGAGTGGCTCCGCGAGACAAGGGTTCCAATGGACTTTGGGCGCTATTAAAACATCACTTTTCTAAGCCTCTACCTGGAACGGTGAGTCAGTGTACCTGATCACAGAATTGATA